AATTTGAAAATAAGCGTTGGGTGCCTGTTGTCAATAGTAAAGAGCATCCCACGCTTTTTTTCAATTTTTTTTTAATTATTTTTATCAAAATCCTTTTTCTTAGCGTTCCTTGGATACGTCCATCGCGTGATAAGTGGGGGCAACACATGCGACTTCGACAGTGCCTGGGAATTGCGACCCAGGAGTAGGTTTAGGGAGTACTCCATGCGACGTGTCAGCGCTCACTTCATCTGTTGGCTGTTACCCCTCTATCTAACCATATTTGATACTGAAAATGTTGAAACACGTTCGTATAAATTACAATTTAATTGCTTATTTATTAACCGACTTAAAAAAAGTAGGAGGTTCTCACTTTATTTGATTTTTTTTTGTTACCTCAAAACTCCTTCATTTTGAAACGTTTTTACAAAAAATATTTTTCATTTGGGAGCGTATACTGCCCGTCCTGTCCCAGTCTACGAGTATATTGCAAAAAAATACCAACCCTTAAGGGTGGAAAATTCTGAAATGAAGAATACAATTTATAAAAACTTATTATGATGTAGACCCATTGAAGTCGGTTTTATATTTATCCGACTTAAAAAAGGAAGACGTTCTATGTTCCACGGTATGTATTTTTTTATGTATGTTCACCAATCTTTGTCGGGTCATTTGTGGACGGATATTTAAAATTCCTTTTTAATTAGTTTAAAAGTAAATTTTATTACCTACTTACAGTTGTTTGTGCTGTTGGTGATCGGCTGCTATTGGTCGTAGAGTAATGTTTTATAGCCTTTCTCGATAAATGGGCTATCCGACACTAAGATAATTTTTCAATTCGAACTGGTAGTTCCTGAGATTAGCGCGTTCAACCAAACAAACAAGCAAACTTTTTAGCTCTATAATATTAATATGGATCACCATGAGGTTGGGGAACAGCGGTCTTTCCCCAGCTAAGACAATGGCTACTACCGTGGGATATTACAATCAAATTCCTATCAATAGTTGTGCGCGTGCAGCTATCCTTAGAATGTTGTCAATGGCTGTTATCTATTGACAAAATGATTTGGCGAGCTTTTTGTAGCCATTAAAATTTCATGTCATGTACTACGGAGACTGCCAAAGCTCGGATCGAAACATGTATGGACAACAGAAAAAGCTATATATATACAGTATAATGGTTTATAAAATTTTGTAGTAAAGTTTTATGTTAAAAGTTAAAAAAAGCTATTTTTATGAGAGTTCTAAATTTAGTTGAGTGTTTTTACTTTTGTATAACAACTCCAGAACTCCGAGATTTATATATGAACTCGCAAAATTCTTTTAGGAGTGTGTTTGGGAGGGTTTTATTCTCGTTGGGTCTCATGCAAATTAGACGAAAAAACACTATTTTTAACCTGAAGGGTGAAAAATAAAAGAAGTGACTAAGTGTTATACAACTTGGGTGATAAAATAAAACATTCTGTATGTACACGAGCAGTCTCACAAAACCAGTGAGAGAACAATACGAAACATAGTACCGCAATAAATTAATAAACTATCCCCCGATATAAATAAATGCCTAAACGAAAAAAATATCAAACATAATTTGAAGGGATTATTTTTGGAAAACATGGCCTAGTTATGTTTGGAAGTAATCCTTCCTCCTCTCCTTGCCTGACTCGGAGTTCACTTCACCGTTCTACGACCTAAAGTAACTACAAAATGATACTTGTATTTTGTACTGTATGTGTTTACTGTATAGTGTTAGTTTTAATCAACTTCGCTTGATGTAACATCTGTTACATTTTTACAAACCTGTGATTTTCAAATGCACTATAATTTAAAATGTTAAATAAATAAATAACCTCTTTACACGTAGTTTTTCTTAATATTTGACTTGACTTGACTTGACTTGACTTGACTTGACGACCGAATGGCGTAGTGGTTTGTGTAACGGACTGCTATTCCAAAGGTCGCGGGTTCGATTCCCGCTCAAGTCAAACATTTGTGTGCATGAACATTTGATGTTTGATTTGGTCTGGGTGTTTCTATGTATAATATGTATGTATTTACAAAAAAGAAAGTATATAATGTATTTATATCAGTTGTCTAGTACCCATAGTACAAGCTCTGCTTAGTTTGGGACTAGATGGCGTTGTGTGTATGTGGTAGAATATTATTATATTATTATTTTAGAATATTATTTAGTGTATTTTTTTTGCTATCGTTACCAAAATCATTGCGAATTCAGCGCTGGGATTCGCTTAACGTTTATAAAAGAGCTGAACTTTAGATCAGTTGCCATATAACCTTGTAATCGCGAGAAACACCAGACCCTGACATTGTGAAGTGTGTGTGTGAGAGTGGTGGTGGTAAATTGTAAGTGACTTTTTTTACTTAAGGTGGGTTTTAATTGTGATGTAAAACATATGAAATAAATGGTCATAGTGTAAATGGTCATAGTGTAAGCTTGGTCGTGACCATGACATATCACTTCCACTGAGTTGTCGCGTTAAGTCAAGGGTGTGCCATAAAAACTTAAGATTTTTTATTCATCATCATTCATCCGAAACTGGGGTCTGGGGAGTGGTTGCATTGTGGTAACCAGACTCCCGAGTCGATGCTTGTATATTTCTATACTTAATATAAAAATCTTGTAGATAAATAATTTTATTGTTTTAAATGACAGCTCCCGCACTCAGAATAAATCCATTCATCAACAGCCTTTACTAGTCCACTGCTGGACATAGGCCTCTCCGTAGAGAGGAGATTTTGCCCTACTATACCACGCTGGATAGACGGGTTGGTATAGGGTTTGTGTCAAGCTTTCCTTCTTTTCTGCTGCTGTCCTGCGTAGTTTACTCCCTTAGTCGCGTCTTACGACACCGACGGGATGAATACGGGTGGTGACACTCTGTATTCTTAATCCGTCACCACATGGAATCAAAATTCAAAACAGATAAAAAATAATAGAGACTTTGCCATCATAAAGTTAGAATTAAAAGTAAAAATGTGAAAATATTATTTTTATTTATTTATACATCTTTATTGTACACCGCTACGGTATATTTGACTGCACGGATGGCGTGGTGGTTTAAGCGGTCGCCACGCCGCTTACTACTACGCTGAGTGTTGTGGGTCCGATCCCCACGTAAGACGACACTTTGTGTGATCCACAAATTACTGGTCTGAGTCTAGGCGTTCTTTGTGTCCGTTTCATGTATATTTGTAAAGTCCCCCGCGACACAGGATATATTCATAATGCGGGAGTTGTCTTTAAAATATATATATATATATATTTATATATATGTATATATATTGTACAGACATGGATGGACATTTACACGTGGTATAACAATAGGCGGTGTTATCGCTCACGGCGATCTTTTACATACAACCTTTACACGGATATTGTCAAATCTGATTTATATAGTCTGTGGTGTACTTTTATAATACTCTAACTTTAGTAGTTTTATTTTATTTATTTATTTAATCTATTTAATAAGTTAGTACTTTTAATTTTATTACCTAATAATTAAATTTCTTGGGGCAACAAATATGAACTAGAGGTCGCTGCAATTTATTTCCATTAAATTATGTATTAATATAATTATAACTATTTATTCTATTAGTTTTATATTAATTAATTAAGTAACATTTATTAGAAGTAGTAACCGACATCACCACATCCGAATGACCACGAAACCGAAAGGCCTGTTGGTTTAGTTTTCTTAGGAGAGGCCTATGTTCAGCAGTGGACTATTAAAGGCTGTTGATGTTGATCTCGGGGTTCTGACTGCTAAGCCGGCGGTGGTGGATTCGATTCCAACCCAGGACTAATAAGTATGTGATGACCACGGTCATTCGTTCTCTGTAGTGTTATTTATCTATAACATGTGTGTATTTAGAAGTTTATCAGACCTGCCGTCCTGTACGGCTCTGAAAGTTGGCCCATTAAGAGAACGGATGAGAGACGCCTGAACGTAGCCGAAATGCGAATGCTGAGATGGATGTGTGGTGTGACTCAGATGGACAAGGTTAGGAATGAGTATATACGAGGGAGTCTGAAAGTAGCGCCACTGGATGAAAAGTTAAGAAGTAATAGGTTATCTTGGTATGGACATGTCATGCGGAGGGATGAGGAAAATGTGGCGTAGAAAGTTTTAGGTATGAGAGTTGAAGGGTACAAGAGAAGAGGCAGACCGAAGAAGAGGTGGATGGACTGCGTCAGGGAGGATATGGCTAGGAAGGGAGTAAACAGTGAGATGACGCATGACAGAGTAGAATGGAAAAATCATACATACTGCGCCGACCCCAAATAAAATTGGAAAAAGGGTAGGCAGATGATGATTTGTGTATTTAGAAGTATTTAAGAAATATATAAGTAGGTAGTAGAGATATGTTATATTGTGACCAGCAAATTGTTGTTTTGAGTCTGAGTGTTATGTTTGTTAAGTCCCCCGCGACACATTACATATTCCTAATGCGGCAGTTGTCTTTTGAATGATAAATAAAAAAAAAACAAAGTCAAACAAACAGAGAGATAAATTTATTATTATTATTATACACTAACTTATACACTAACTAATTTAACTATTATATTTAATATTTTCACACATCTCACACACGGCCGCCTGATCCCAAACTAGACAGAAACTTTACTATGGTAACCAAACTGCCGATAAACATACTTATATATTTCTAAATACATACGTACTATAGATAAATTACACCCAGACACAGAACAAATGATCGTGCTCATCACACAATTATTCGTCCTGGGTGGGAATTGAACCCACGACCTCTGGAGTAGTAGTCAGGGTCACAAACTACTAGACAACTACCACTAGCTACAAAGACTATGACTATGACTTCGCGATATTTTTGAAACTTGATATCTTCGATAGTGAAGCAGAAAATTTAATAAAAATATAAGATTACTAAGTGTATACATATTCACATCTGTTCATCTGAAGTGTCCTGTATATACTAGGCCACAAAGTGTTAACAAAGTTTATGATTTCAGATAAACCTACAAAATGGTCCTTCGAGCCAGTGGCCTGTTCTTAATATTTATGATGACATCAGCAGGCAGTGATGGTATCGACTTTACAATGAATGATGATATACTGCTTAAGGCACTAAAGGTATGTTTTCATCTTCTTCTTTTGATTTCTGTAAAAAGGAGACTTTTGAGCTCCTATCAGTTCTACAACTCTTCTTAACCTATTTAATATATACATGTATTCCCATTTCAAATTACTTTCTTTCAGGATATGTCAAACCAAACCAAGGCTGACACTTTGAATCTTCCTGCAAATGCTTCTTCCATCAGAGAAAATATTACAGATACCTTCAGGTAAGGATTATATGGATTAAAAACCCTATGTAACTGGACTTATGGCACTTGAGAATCCCCATTACAACTTCTGGAAAACCTAAAATTTGGCGGGTGTCTTATAACCTGTGGGATCTAGAAAGATCCCATCTCGAAATTAGCAAAACCTAGCCTAAATTTTCAGTAAGTTCAGGATTTCCTAACCGGACTTTCATTAGTAGAGCTTCTTCAAAACCTACATACATATAACCTGATAGATTTTTGCCGAACTTACTCGTGTCTTTCTTGGTAATTCCTGAGACCAGACCTTTTTCCCTACTTCTGTTACTTCCTTAATTTTACAAAATTATTCCATCAGACTGCAAGAAGACGAGATGAAAGGTGTTCATGAAAAAAATATATGCTTTGTTATATTTTTGAATAGTAAAAACTACGTTAAAAATTTTCATTTTTTATTTATGATATTTTTTTCCCCAGCTGTGAAAACCGGACTTACGGCTACTACGCAGACGTGGACAACGAATGTCAAGTGTTCCACGTATGTGTCCCCACGCAGACCCCTTCAGGTCGCAATATCACGTACAGATACAGCTTCATCTGTCCGAATGAAACCATATTTAATCAGGTAATAAACTTTCCGAACTAAGTACTCGTATAAAAAGGAGATGTTCTGAATTGGACGACCGATTCGAGAAGAATGCTTCGGCACGACCTCAGATCACCGATTGAGTGAGGTTACCAGAGCCCAAAACCCACTCCTATTTCTGGGAGGGACTCAAAGAGCGTCGACATACTTATGACTTTTAGGTTGTAGGTGTCCATAGGCAGTTGTAACCAGTTGTTGACTGCAACGGATGACAAATTGCATTGATTTACTCAAGGTTCATCATCATCCACTGCTGGACATAGGCCTCTCCCTTTACACGCCACTTAGATCGATTTTGGGCTTCTCGCATCCAGCTCCTGCTAGCCATCTTGCGCAAATCGTCACTCCACCTGGCCTGTGGGCGTCCTACACTACGTTTGCCGAGACGCGGTCTCCACTCAAGAACTCGTTTTCCCCAACGGTTATCGGTTCTGCGGCTAATATGGCCAGCCCATTGCCACTTCAGCTTGCTGATCCGGTACGCTATGTCGGTGACCTTAGTTCTCTGCCGGATCACCTCATTTCTGATGCGATCCATAGCCCTTTCCATAGCACGTTGAGCGACTTTGAACTTGTGGACCAGCCGTACCGTAAGTGTCCACGTTTCAGCTCCGTATGTCATGACGGGTAGGACGCACTCATTAAAGACTTTCGTCTTAAGGCACTGTGGGATCGACGATGAGAAGACTCGACGTAGCTTCCCAAACGCTGCCCAACCCAACCGAATTCTTCTGTTCACCTCGTCCTCGAAGTTGTTTCTACCTAACTGCAATGTCTGCCCGAGGTACACATAATTTTGAACAACTTCGAGAACGGCACCGTGTACCGCAATCGGTTCATAGGTTCGGTAGTACATGTTCGTTGAACATGACCTTGGTTTTATCCAAGTTCATCCGTAGGCCGATGCGTACAGAAGTGTCAGCTAAGTCATTCAGCATTTGCTGGAGGTCCTGCAACGTCTCTGCCATGATGACGATGTCATCTGCAAATCGCAAGTGAGAGATGTATTTGCCATTGATATTGATGCCACGCCCTTTCCAGTGCAGCGTCTTGAACATATTCTCCATTGCATTTGTGAACAATTTCGGGGAAATAACGTCCCCTTGTCTCACTCCTCGATGCAATGGTACGGGCCTTGTTTGCTGATTCTGTACTTGGACGGACATGGTGGCGGCTTCGTAGAGACATCTCATCACTTGGATGTATCGCCAATCTACTTGGCAACGCTGCAGGGACTCCAGAACAGACCAGATCTCGATCGAGTCAAAGGCTTTCTCATAGTCCACGAATGCTAGACACAGGGGCTGATTATATTCTTCGGTCTTCTGTATAATCTGCCGCACTGTGTGGATGTGGTCTATGGTGCCATATCCGCTCCGAAACCCAGCTTGCTCCGGTGGTTGGAATTCGTCGAGTCTTTGCGCAAGACGGTTCGTGATGACTCTCGAAAACAGCTTGTAGACGTGGCTTAGAAGGGATATGGGTCGATAGTTCTGCCGTGCTAAAGATAAGAGCGACAAGTGCATGACAGCAAGTTCCTAGAAAATGGCGCCTAAAGTTTTAAAAATTAATTCTTCGATTATGGATATAAAAATATTGTTTATTTAAAATTTGTTGTATTCTTACCGTAGTTAAAAGGTGGTATTTTGTATTCATTGCTATTTAAGAACTTTAAGTAATAAATTGATAATAAAAAAGATATAAAAATGTGATATGACAAGGAAATGCGACGTATGTTTTAAAACAAATACTTATAATAAGCGTCGTAAGTAACACAGATAGTGCGCTTATACTATGGAACTTATTTTATGGCGCTTTTGACATCGAAAAATGAGTACTGAGTATAAGTAACGATAAGCATAACCGCCGTAACGTTGACATTTAGGGCTCTTATGGTAAGAAACTCAAAGTACTAATTTTCTGTGCGTTTACGGCAACGAGTGCAAATATGCCAACTTTCAGCTGTCAATGTATGGATAAACCGACTGATATTATAATAATTACATTTGTAAATATTGTATACACTAATAAAACAATCAATTTTTATGTGTGTATTAAAACGGAATTTATTAAAGTAACATTTTGAAACGAAATTACCTCGTACATCTTACAATTAAAAACAACGACTTAATTCTATTATTGGCACTTTCTGAGATCACAGTAACTTGGCAGTCTTACATATATGTACTTTTTTAAAGTATTCAGTGAAATTACTAATTAATCTTATTTTAATAAGCTTAGTAAATACACATTTAAGGACGTGGCATGGCTCCCTTTTACAAGAATATAATTATAAAATCGGTAATAATTATTAATAATCTGTTAAATCTTATAGTTTGTTCGACGCTTAAAAATCTAAAAAAAAATAACACTTCTTATAATATCTTATAAAAACAAAAAATAAAATAAGTCTTTGGAAATTCTAGGCCGTTATATAAAGCTAGTCCTCTTCCAAAAGATTTTTAACAGTCTCATTTGTTGGTACGTTAATCCAGAACTGTTTCCTGTTTGCCGGCATTAACGGGACTAACTTTTCAATAATGGCTGCTTTGCGTTCTTCAGCTATACCCCTTGGCAAAGTTTTTCTTTGAATTTCAGGGAATTGTTCATTTTTCATGATTTTTACTTGAAGAAAATCTAAAGGTTCTGATTTGTATTGATCAGCATGATTAAATTTGTATTTTAATTTGAAAAGGCCTCGTTCAACCCTCACAGCCATTATATTCGTTAAATAAACGCGTGGGTTATTTTTCCGCAATTTGTGCTGAGAAGATAAATCTTCATAGGCGATAAAGTCATCAACATTCATTACTTTTACTATATTCTTCCTTTTATTGGCGTTGCCGACACACTCAACAAAATCGTCGAAATCATAAACCTTTCCCTTTTTTGTCAGGGATTGTTCCACTTGGTGATGGAAACTGTCTGCGGACATAAATGTATGTCCCGGTTCAAAATATTTTAATGTTATACTCTCAGCTAAAATGTCTGTACTATTCACTATTTGTACCATAAAACATAGAAGTGACCAGTTTTTGTTTTGCGCAGAACAGTTATCGAGCCAGAGTACAATATTTTTTTGGTCCCTTTTAATGTTCAAAAATGCCTTGAAGGTAGAAATTATATCATCTTGACTACGACCGGCAACACTCTCGTTCCATAACACAGCATACGGTTTGTTATCCTTAGTTGCGGGTCCTAGTGGTACAAAGCTTTCATTGAAAGCAATTAACCGCGGGCAAAAAATCGCAGTCTTGAATTGATCCATTCTTGGCAACATAATAATTTTTTGAAGGTCAACGGAATAATAAATTACTTCTGTGTCAATCTTTGCTTTCTCTCTATCTTCGTTGTATTCTTTGCGGGACTCTATGTATCTGGGCTTGTGTTGCATATTATAATTTTGGCATATCTCGCAAGATTCTTCTTGATGGTCTAATCGATTGTGACGCTTAAAATATTCACATTGTTCACATTCTTCATTACCAAGGTTTGCAAAAGAAATGTTCAGGTCATTTCTTACTACTTTTCTATTAACTTCATGAGAAACTTTTATATCCGGCCTTGTAGAGCAAAAATTTTCATGCATCATTGTGATAGTGATATCACTGGGAAGGTACAATTTTTTGGGTGCATGTTCTCGTCTATAATGTGAAATAGCGGGGTGATACGACATGATATGATCTTTTATAGCTTGTCTATCGATTATGGTTCTTTTGTAGGATCCTCGAGTCGTTTTTTGTTCATCAATAGCTTTACTCATAGCAGTTGTGATCCTTCTATCATTGTTAGGCTTATAACCCAACGTCGAAAGAAAAAACGTCTTACAAACTTCTTTTTTAATGTTATCAGGTCCTTTTAAATTATAAATATATGTTGTTTTTCTTTTGTAGTCTTCTGTAACTTGGGATCTGCGCATTACAGGCTTAACATCGATACAACATTTAATAAATAGTCCTTGTGATTCGTAATCAAGAGCGATATATCTGTCGTGTATATCTTGGCGTACCTGAGGTGTGAATTTAGTTACACATTTCTTCATACATTTTTCAGTGCATGGATCTTTCAAATCATTTTGCTCATCTCTGACCTTTTTCTTTTTTTCTTGTCTTTCCTTTACAGATTCATTGAATTTTTGCCTTTTGCGAGGCCTACCATCTTTTGTAAGTCCTTTGTTTTCTTCTGTATTTGTTAATTCATGAGGTGTGATAGTAGCATTTATTAAATCTTGCGAGTGTGCGGTGCTATTTTCTGTTTGAATATTAAATTGTGTTAAAATATTAGAGTCCATTACACTAATTGAAGTTGAAGTATCATTCATTATAAAATTGCTTTCTTTAATTATTTGCGACATTGTATTCATACTGGTACCCAAAGTCATTCTGTCATCAATTGCTGAGTTATCCATTGTTATGTCATGTAATATTAATGGTGAATGTGTTTTACGTTCCCTAGATTTTTTGGTGAATATTTCGTCTTCGCCTGAATCTGCATCTGAAGTCTCGGGAATATATGTTTTGTCCTTATCATCGTCGGAGTCATGGAAAATATCAATATCTTCTTCATGAATATTTTTGTTTTTTGAAAATGGGGACAGCTCTATTACTTCTTGACATAGCAAAAAATCAGCACAAGCTGTCTCATTACTACCGTAAAAATTAAACGATAACTTCAATTCTGACAGGTTATAAGTTTGTAAATATTGATTTAATGAATTTTCATATTCTTTAGAGTAATCAAAAACAACGCTGAAGTCTTTAAAATCCAATTCTCGGCTCCATAAGTCATTAATATTAGTTAATTTAGGTTTTGTGATTATAGCTGGCAGGTTGGTAGGGCTGGCATGCACTATAGGTTTAGGTCTTAGCGGCAGTTGCATTATAGTAGCAGCCTTGTTTTTGCTGCTGGGTTGATGGTCTGTTGTCAGAGCAAGTATCTTATCACGTCTAGCACCAGATGCCCACATAACCTGCATCAAAAAAATAATGACGTGAAAAAAGAATAATACATAAATATTCTACTACACACACCTTCAAGCCCAAATTAATAAAATATATATTACAATTCAATACTTACATTGTTTAGAATTTGTCATTATGGAATTTATAAAAATATGTAAGAAAGATACCGCGTATTTTTGAGATTTTACAAAACAAAAATGGCGGGACCGTGGCTCATGCAACGTGGATAGTTAAATACGTTTCGCATTAAATTTTGTTATGAGAAATACCAAAAATGAGTATTTTATGTATACGTTGTTTCTTTAAGAAAATGCATTTTTATTTATTTTAATAGTATTGATTATACTTACGAAATAATGTTTTACCGCCAATTCCGCCAGATCACCGCACGCAACAACGTGCTCTTGGGCTTGTCAACAAGCAACTGAACGAATGAAATGAAAGATCGTTGATGCGCGACTCCCGCTCCTCCGCTTCCTCTGCCCCCATTTTTAATGCAAAACACCGCGCAATAACACAAACGGGGTAGTGATTTAATTTCGAGTACCTTGCCAAAAGAGCCGTACACGACGCGCGACGCACGGTTACAATTAACTTATAAGAGAAGTTTCCTTATTATTACCGCAGTAACACGCAGTTGTCGCTCATGAAAATAAAACAACGTATCTATTGCATTCCAATTTCTTGTAATAAGCGTCGTAAGTGCACATACGGCTGTTATTATTGTAACTCAATGGAAACCAATTAATACAGTTTTCTTATTATAATCGCCGTAAGTGGCGATTAAAGCACTTATGTTAAGGAAAAAGACTCATCAATAATAGGGATTGCATTAATATCAGAGCAGTGTTAACCGATACCGCGGTTAAGATAAGTACTACATGAATAATAATCTGGCGCTTTAGAAATCTATAGCAGTATCCAGCACTTGCGGCTGAGATATTAAGGAAATTATTTTCCTTTTTGTAGTTACTGCGCTTATACAAATCAAAAATCATATCAAACAAGCATTTTTTTACAAACCGTCAAATACAAAGTTATAGATCTCGATACGGCGATTCCGAATATGTAACTAACTCAATTTGGTAAAAAATGTTGGATACGGCGGTTATAATAAGCACGGCAGAGTTCTTCAACCTGGTCTTGTCACCCTTTTTGAAGAACAAGATGACCACACTCCTACTCCACGCTTCTGGAGTTCTCCCTTCAAACAGGACAGCGTTGAAGAGCTTTTGGAGCTCCCTTAGTACGGGTTTACCCCCGGCCTTCAGCAGCTCTGTTGTAACGCCATCCTCTCCAGGGGCTTTTCCATTTTTCAGCTGTCCAAGAGCCATCTCGATTTCGTCAATGCTAACTTCTGGCAGGTCTTCGGTGTAGCGACGTGTTAATGTGGCTCTAGAGTCCTCATTTTCGGGATCAGGTCGAGATGCATGCGAAGCGTATAACCGGCCATAGAAGCTTTCCACTTCCAAAAGGACTGCTGGCTTCGAAGCAACGACTTCTCCACTTTCTGTAGTCAACTTTGTCAGGTGGCTTCTTCCAAGAGATTGTACGAACACTTTTGACCCCCGATTTTGCTCGATCGCTCTTTCAATTGAAAGAGTATTGCAGCACCGGAGGTCGTGTCGTACGAGTTTACTGATCTCTCGGTTTAGAGTCCGCTGTGCCGACAAAGTGACAGGTGGGTTTTCACGTCGTGTCTTCATCAGCCCTAGGGTCCTTTCTGAAAGCTTCGACTTCCTGCCCTTACGCTGCATTTCACAAAATCTCATACCTTCTTCCCTGAGGATCCGAACCACATTTTTGAGGATTTTGGTTTACGTCGATTGTGGTTTCCACGGCAGCGAATCGGTTTTCCAGTTTTGACTGGAACGTTTCAGATCCTGTCATGGCTTGGAGCCGAGTTGGTCGGAGCCTGGATTTCATCAAACAGACACGTTCCGCCTTAAAGTTGATATTCAGAGAGCCCCGGACAAGTCGGTGATCACTACCGGTATTAAACCTATTGATCACTGAGACGTCTCTGAATATGTGCTTTCTATCCGTCATGATGAAATCGATCTCATTTCTAGTCATAGCGTCGGGGCTTTGCCACGTCCATTTCCTTTGGGGCTGTTTCTTGAAGAAAGAATTCATCAAAAACAGCCCCTCCCGTTCGAGGAAGTTGACCAGCATTTGCCCCCTATGATTCCTGCTTCCAAATCCATGGGATCCTACTACCGATTCGCCGCATTTCTGTACTCCCACTTTAGCGTTGAAGTCACCCATAACAACGTTGTAGTGGGTCTTAGTTGTGAAGTGGAGGGGCCTCGATATGTCATCGTACATATCCTCCACCTCGTCGTCCGAATGTGCCGAGGTCGGTGCGTACACTTGCACAACCTTGAGGCTATACCTCTCGGTGAGCTTGATAATGAGGTACGCTACCCTGTTCGACACACTGGAAATTTCCACAACGTTGTCAGATAGGGACTTATTTACCAGAAACCCAACCCCACCTTGGGATTGTTGGTCTCCCTCGCGGAAGTACATTAGGTGGCCTGACTCGAGGGTTATGGTGTCCTCCCCCTCTCTTCGGACTTCACATAGCCCTAGGATATGCCACCTAATCTTCCCAAGTTCCACCTCAAGTTGCGCCAGATGCGAGTCTAGCCGTAGCGTGCGTCCGTTGTACGTCGCCAGGGTCAGTCGGTTGTGGTGGCCTCCCGGAGATTCTTCGCACCCCCTGCCCCGCCTTTACCGTGGTCGCCACCATGACCAGGAATAGCGGGGCCGCCGGGAACTGGGGGCCGTGGCCTTTGTTGCGTCTGCATGGGAGGGGTTTGCCCATAATCGCCACGCTGGGCAGGCGGGTTGGCGATCGCAGGGCGTAGCTTGTAGCACCGGTAACGCTGCTGCCCGTCACCGGCCTGTTGTATTTAGCTACGCCTATTGGGATGGATATACCGCCATCGGTCGGTCGCCAGAGCCTCGTTCGTCGTTCAGCAGGATGCACCGCGGGCAGGTGAGGTTGGCTTGGGGCGAAAGATGGTGATTCGCCCCTCACACCCCTTACTCAAGGTTGGTGTTATTTAAAGTTGAAGAAATTATTTAACTTCTGATGATGGAAATTAAAAGGATGTTTAATGAAACTTATCGAGATTTATCATGATTTAGTCGCATTGAAGTCGGTGCTATGATAATTTATATGATTAAATATTTTTCATAAAAATTAACGACGTGTTCCGCGGGCGCCTCTCTAAGCCGTAAGGAGGACAATGCCCTCTGCACTTAGTAGTATAGCTGCCTAGGGCACCTAAGGCTTTTCTCAGGGACTTCCTTCTTTGGTTATAGACTAGTCCCTTATAATAGACTTAGATGGAACGGACCTCCTCTGTGTTTTTACTGGTTAAATTCCCATATATCACTTCCTTCGTGAGCCCCGGTGAGGTGATAACTCGAAGGGGTTTTCATAAAAATAAAAGTAGAGTATGCCAATACATCTTTTAAATTTTCAGGAAGTATTGACCTGCACCAGACCCATCGACTCAATTCCCTGCGAAGAATCACCTAATTTCTACCACTTGAATGAAGAAATAGGTAAAGTATCAAACAAAACCACCGAACCAGAAAAGAAAGAAAGCAGAAAAACACAGAAACGAAAAGAAGTTAAAAGAAAAGAAAACATCGTGATGGAGAACTTTATAAAAGATATTGTAAAAGATGAATTGAAGGACAAATTAGAAGAGATTGAATTTGGAATAAAAAATACAGATGTAGTTGAAAGTCCTATATTAATAGATACAGTTATTGAAGACGTAGACGCAATGAGTAGTCAAGAAGAGAAAGAAAAAGAAGAGGAATTGGATAGAATGATTATGGAACGAAATATGAGACAAGAGAGGCAGATGCGGAGAGGAAGTTTTAGGTTTAAAAGTGATGTATAAATAGTTAAAGACAGATTTACAATTACTTTTTGACATCAACCAAGCAATAAATGATCATTTTTTAAATATTGAGGAAATCATGTTGATTCTTTAATATTTTTGTGTAGATTTTAATAAAATATTAAAGATCATTCCTTTTTTTACGCAGCGAGACTGACTTCAGATAAAAACCAGCATAGGGGAGCAATTTAACATGATTTTTCATGTAAAAGTCTAAGTTTATTAATGGCAAACTTATCACAGAATAAAAAAATATTCGCGCCTTGCAGTGGTTGATTTTATGCAATCTGAAATCCTAGTGTAAGTTTATTTAACATCAACTTGATCTCGACAGCGAACGCGTTTGGCTTTGCGATTGGTGAACATTTCAGCGTGGGCCAATCGCAACGACGAAAGCGGTTACTGTGACGATCGAGTTGATGTGAAATAATAATAGTAAAAAAAAAACTAAAAAACATGCTTTAAAAAAAAACAAACTAAAAATAGAAAATAAATTTGAAAAAAAAGGATGGGGTGCTTTTTACTATGACAACAGGCATTAAAACGCTTTTGTTTTCAAATTTATTAAAATTTATTTTATATTTTTTATTTTAAATTAGTGTATGGTCATCGGTCCTCGATATATCTACAAAGTTTGAACGAATTCTGACCGTTTCAACAAACATACAGGTGAAGCTAATAAAAAGCGTGTAATAATAAACTTTGTTCCACATACAGTGGTACGAAGAAACATACTACAGCGCCATATAACAAAGACACACTGAACTACGGAGTAACTGCTAATCTTGCATCGCTATATTAACAATTCTCTCGCCGATATATACAACTTCCCAACATCAACCGTTGGGCTGCGGCCCGCCAGGCATGATCACCTCGCCTGGTCGGCGGATCCTCGCTTTGTGTTGAAGGGGCATGACTCCCGTTCCTCTACAAAATCACACGAGGCCCTCTGTGAGAATCATTTCGCTCGCTGCCGGCCTTTTTGTCGAAATCATTGTCATACATTACATGTACACGAGATTCAATATGTTACATATTTTGAAAAACTTTCCAGATGAATTTAGATTTACGCACGTGTTACAAACGATTCTGAACACCCTTCCCCTCCTACTTATTTAACAACACAATTTCAATTGTTATGCAACAACCACAACAGAAACCTTCGTTCGGCCAACAATCTTCTTCTACTCTGTCCTTCTCACACCACTGGGTTTGTCGGCTCTTCGTTCTTCGTCCAGGCTGTCCTCTTATGGAATGCGCTTCCTCACGAAGTCAGGATGGCTACAAATCGGTACTCTTTTAAGACCTACCTCATTCTTTCTCAGCACCGCCCAATCGGTCGACTGGCAGAGAATGCCTTAGGCATTAAGTCCGCCGAAGCATATACTTGTGCAAAAAGTTAACAAATAAATAAATAAATATCAATGTTTTCCATTATGTTTTAATTTTGATAGCATAATTGTCAAATTAATTAAAACTATTAATCAAAGAAGAAATTATCTCTTAAATTTGTAGCCGAGAACAAATAAAGTTAGTATTTTTAGAACAATATTAGACTTCAAATGTATATATATACCGTGCGGGAATGGTCTTAAAAAAAAATTACAGCCGGTTGGCGTAGCGGTGTGTGTAACAGAGTGCGGTTTTCATTCCCGCTCAATTTAAATATTTGTATGCATGAACAATTAATCTTTGATTTGGTCGGTTGTTTCTATGTATAATGTGTATTTATTTACAAATATGTATATATATGTATTTATATCAGTTGTCTAGTACCCATAGTACAAGCTCTGCTTAGTTTGGGACTAGATGGCGTTGTGTAAATGTGCTAGAATATCCTAATATTATTATTATTAATGGGCTTTTTGATCCTCTGCGTATTAAGCGCGACGAAAGAAAGAAAAAATTACTAACATTGGTTTTCTGTGAGGCCGATCCATGGCTCTCCCACGATATTAAGTGAAAAGAAGTAAAGAACGATTAATTCAATATATTAGGCAGTATGAATATCATTTAAGTTTCGTCTTGGCCAATTATTTTATAATATTACATATTTTTTGTAAATAAAATCTTCAAGATAAAAAGATGCAGTAATTTTTTTCATTTTTTATTTGCTGTTGTCTTAGAAACTTTCAAGTATACATATATGGATGTTTGTAAATCAATAAAGTTAGAACGTTTGACCGGAACTGGATGAAATTTAGCTAAGAGATTGACAGTTCAACACTGCAACCCCTCCACACACATCACAGAATTTTACCATCCACATATTTACTTTTACTTCTTTTTTTTAAAAGACATCTTCGGTAGTATCCTGTGTCGCGGGGGACTTTACAAACATACATGAAACGGACACAAACTACACCCAGACTCAGAACAACAGTTTGTGGATCATAGAAAGTGTCGTCCCATGTGGGGATCGGAGCCACAACACACGGCTTAGTTTTAAGCGGCGTGGCGACCGCTTAAACCACTACGCCAACCATAATCCAGGGTATCATAAAAACAATTTTTGCTATTGAACAAGTCAGGTTATCGGAGGAACCCCAAACTCCTCTTTACCATTGGTAATCAAAATGTGCCAACACACTTGTATCTCTTGAGCTGCAGGTGTCCATGGACGACGGTAGTCAATTACCATCAGGTGACGTGTCTGCTTATATGTCTCCCAAACCATAACAAACATTTATTTTACTTTTATTCTATCAAAATTACTGAAACAGAAGTATACATACATATCTTTCTAACTCTCTATCACTGTAAGAAATTATCATCATCATCACTGCTTTTATGGTATAAAGTCAACATTATTGAAAAAAAAAACAAAAAACCTGACTGCATGAAAATGTTAAGCATACGTCATCAGCGGCCTTTAGCAGTCCACTGCTGGATACAGGCCTCTCCTTAAAAAGGAGGTTTTAGCCTACTATACCACGCTGGCCAGACATACTAGACAGTATAGAGTTTGTTTCAAGTTTTCCTCCTCTCTGCAGTGTTGTTGTCCTGCGTAGTTTGCTCCCTTAGTCGGCTCTTACGACACCCACGGGATAAATAGGGGTAATAGGGGACAACAGCACGGCAAAGAGAAAGAAAGCGTGATAGAGTCGGCCAAAATCTCCTTTCTAAGGAGAAGCCTATGACCAGCAGTGGACTATTAAAGGCTGTTGATGATGATTGATGGTACATACCATATTTTATTTTTGGAATACATTTTTGATACCCTTTCATTAGCCACCCCACTCGATAGATTTTAACACCATTAGCTGACTATTTTGTTGTTATTGATATTCTCAAAATCATACATGCGTATGTACATACATACACTCGAAAAACAACACCCTGCTTTTAGCGCAGTCGGATAGAAAAGGAGGTATTTATTTTTTTTTTTTTTTTTTTTTTTTTTTTTTTATAAAAGTATTATTCTACCATCAGGTCAATTAATTATTATCTATCAGACTGGTTTGATTGGAACTCATGAATTAAATCACATTACACGGTTTTTGAGATACTTGCGCAGAAAAGTAATTAATTCTTATCAGACGTCTTAAATAGATTTTCATGGCTGATTTCATACTAAAATGCATAAGAATAGAATTCCAGTACCGTTAAATCACTAGCAACGAAGAACAGTAGGGAAAAAATGTTGTGAAGAATCATGTTAATAATTTTAGCTCTTTTTTTGTCAACTGCTTTAGCCAATAGTCATGAGAAATACATTGATCTCCTACCCGAAGAAGAGAAACAAGAGTTTTTGAATAAAGTCGCAAGAAGGATATTGGAGACAGTTGATAATACTGAGAACAGTGATAAAACTAGCAAAGAACTTAACGATGAAGATTTAAAAGGGCATCATAAATTTGTTCAGGACATTTTGCAGGAAGAATCAGGACATATCAGAAGACGTAGGGCTGATAGGAATAGCGATGATGAAATTGAGGCTAGTGAAAATTCTGGACAAATAGACAACCGGAGAGCAGATGATACAAGCAGTGATGATGAAAACAATGCAAGTGAACATTTAGAAGTCAAGCCTTTGAAATTAGAAAGTAATACACACGATGGTGAGAAAATTGATAAATCTAGTGACACTGATAATGCAAGTTCATCTGCTTATGGAATAGAACGAAGAAGTTACGATGAACCGATACAAGAAAGTCCCAAGGATTATATTAAAGTTGAAATAGTTACTGATAAGGTAGATGATGCGAGTGATGAACCTAAATCTAACATACGTAGCAAAACATCAATTAAAAAAGGAATTACAAATAGAGAGTTAAAAGACATAAAAACATCAACAGCAAATGTTAAAAGACAAAAAGATAAACCAAAATACGTAGAATCAACTACAAAATTTCAAGATTTAAAACATGAAGGAATAAATAATACTACATACACGACTGATGAACGCAAAAAAGAATATACAGTGTCAAACTCTAGTTTAAGTAACATCAATAATTCAAAAACAAATAAAAAAAGTGAATCAGAACCCATTGCAGAATTGCCATCTAAAGTAGATAGAAATATTTACACATTGACTAGTACAACTGCGGCAAGTGAGACTCATACAACTAATAGAGGTGAAGGAGATGAAAATAACCCGATACCTTTAGTTACCACAGGTAAATATTCTACCACTAAACCGACACCCAGTAATACCATAATCAATTCTTCAACTGATGGTGGTACTAAAGATATTTTTATTGATTTAACATCTTATCTGACAACTACAAAATCACCTGCTCTAAATAAATATTCAGAACAATCACCAAAATTATTTAAATCGAAAGGGGTGACAATGGAAAAAGTATCAAAAAGAAAAACACCAAAAAATGGATTGAAACTAAAAACAGCAACTACAAGATCACCAAGTTTGACTCCAACAAATATTGAAGTGACACCAACTAAGAAACCAAAGAAAATAATAAAAATTAAAAAGAAATCAGAAAATACAACAGTCATTACTTTTTTTTCTGACAACCCTTTAAAAAAAAGTAAGTCAGAATTTAACTTGAACATGCCAAAGCCAAATATAAAGAAGACATATGAAAAGCAAACAAATTTACAACCGTATCAAGTTTATGAAATCCGTAAGTAATTTTTTTCGATGGTATGATGATGGCAATTGGGGCTTGGTCTAAGCAAAATGTTCCTAATCCACCTGCTGGTTCTATCATCAGATCATCGTTATTAAGTTCCAACTGGTGGACTTATCGAGCAGTCTGCTAATGAAGCCAGGGGATAATACCTGACTTGATTAATTTGTTTGATTTATAAAAAGCTGTCAAGAGCTCTTTGTGTCCGCGGTTTGTTCTTTAATAAAGTTGGTTAGTTCCCTCTGCCGTCCTTTGAATGGGAGTTGGAGCTCTGGTAGCCTCATTCACTCGATTAATACCAACGTAAGAGTTGCTTAACACCGGTTTTCTGTGAGGCCGTGGTCACTTCGGTCAAACATTTCCCATTCTTTTGGTAGTGAATAATAAACGTAAAAGTGAATCTATACAAAAAGTGATTTACAAAAAATTACACAAAGGGTATCAACGCACTGGCATCTCTAGTGTGACAGGTGTCTTTTTCTAGTACATAAATATATATATATATATATATTATGTATAAGTAGCGAAAAATTGGATTATTGGATCAAATCAGTCCTAATTCTGGATAAAAGGAAGTCTAACCATAATATCATGGCATTATAATCTTTGAGAAAGACACACGATATTAGAGTTAATAACTATAAAAAAAATCTTTTTTTTTTCTTTTTAGCGTGGCCTGATGCGTCTCAAAATAAACCATTCCTAAGGAACGCAGAACCCATGCAAGACCAACCCTATTTCGTCCCTGTCTACAAATATTCGCCAAACTATGCATTTTATAATCCAACCAACCGCCGTGGGCCTAACGTTGTTGAAGAAAATTCAATAGAACTTGACACTAATCCTCTGCGAAAAGGAAAAATTAAAGGGAAAAAACCCGAAGCAAATGAATTCATATTACAGCTCAACGATGAATTAAGAAAATTCGGTGTGTATAAAAAGATACAAGAGGAATATGCCGAGGAAACTGTAGCTTCCACGACCCCTGGTGACGAAGAAGACTCTAAAGAAAATACGGTAATGCAACTTCCAGATTCCTATGAAAATCTCCATCCTTATAACGGTATGAATAATGGTCTAAAAACTCATATTAAAGCTGTAAGAGATGTTCTATTTAAAAAAAAGGTCTATAATAAAGCTGATACGTCAAAAGAAGACCATTTAAATTTTTTATATACGAGTACTAACAGGTCTGTTCCCGTCCTTGAACAAAGACTGAGACATTTTGATAAGAAAAAGTTTCCCGCGCTTAGAAATCATCACGTTCGCAACAGAGATATTGACTTAAACTATTATTTTAAAGCCTTAAACCGCTTACAGGATCAAGAAACTAACGAAGTGCACGACATGAATGAATTATTAATAATAAGTCATGCAAATGATAAAATTAACGACCATACAGCTGAACATAGAGATGAAGCTATTAAAGATGAACCTAGTAATATGAATACAATAGCAAAAATACTTGAAGTGACAGATGAAAAAGATTTTGTAACAACTTTGGAAAAACTTCGGAAATTAAACTTGAGGTTAATGAGAAGAAATGAGGACGTTAAAATTGGTATCTATATGAAAGTGTTAAAAGACTTGATAAAAAAGGACAGTAAGGCTTTAAAACAGTACGATTGGTTGGCAACGACTGTGCAGATACAGTCGGCTTTGGATAAATTGTCTCTATTAATGTAAGTAGTCTTTAAATTATTGACTGTTTCAAGATTTGAATCGCAGTTAAAGCCATTCGTTCACTTAACTCTAGATTTTTGCATTTTGTTTTCCAGTTTTAAACTTTTTTTTTAAAATTAGTTTTACTACGTACTATCTTCGCACTGACTTCTAACTGGTCAGTTTATGTCCCTATCATAGTGACCTAACCAGCTACAGGATGACTACAGCAGTCTTAATTTTGATTCTCCTCTGAAATCTGCAGTATTCTTTGATCCAGCTTCTTCAGCTCATTCGTTTTATCTTCCTCTAAAGAAAAGAAATCCATGACATTCCTCAGAAAAAAAGGAAAAAGATGTTAAAAACCAGTTAAAATAGTATTAAGAGGACAGGAAGGTGATAATTAAAATATCTGGTTTTTGTATTGCATGAGGCACTATTATCTTTTAGGCGACACGGCGAATACGACGTTATGCAAATTTTCTGTCTTTTCAAGCATTTGCCAGAAGTCTTAACTTATTTTCGGTAGATGTAATATTACGCGGATAAGAAGCCAATTTCTTTGACTTTTACTTTTTGTGCTAATATTGATTTTATAATACCTGAGATATCGGTCTTCTTTAATTCAGATTCAGATTTAACAGAATCGTATTTTTACTAATATTTGGAAGTGATAGACAAATCAAAACTTAATGTGACAACCATCGTTGTTGTATGCTATCAAAGTTATTTTTGAAGGTGTTATGGATTTCTGGAGAAGTAATCAAGAATTTGATAAATCATAACAGCGAGAAATCATTCATACTAACATTATAGATGTGAATGTGTGTCTGTCTATCTGTCTGTTACTTCTTACCGCTTAAACCGCTGAACCGATTTAGATTAAATTCGGTATAGAGATAGTTTGAGCCCCGGGAAAGGACAAAGGATAATTTTTATCTCAGAAATCATCCTTTAAAGGGCTGAAAAGGGGGGTGGAAGTTTGTATGGGGAATCAATAACCGCTTAACCGATTTAGATGAAATTTGGAATGGAGATTGGTTGATTTTTAAAAAAGGACATAGGCTGCTTTTTACCGCGATAACCAATATACACGCGAGCAAAAGCTATTATAGTAAATTTATATTTGAAGAAATGTTGGAAACATTTGGAATGGGTAGTGATCTAATGAAGAACGATCGAAACTTATTTCTAAATCAGGAGTCTAGAAGAATCGATAGGACACTTAAAACTATAGAGAATTATAGCCGGTCGTCAGCATGAGGGAGAAGGAAGACTAAAAGAGATGTTTTCATCTCTTTTACTTTTGTTATGAGGTTTCACTTTATATGAATAAAACATAAATTATATAGTCTTGGAAGAGAAGTCACGTTTTATAAAAAAACACATCTTTTTTAAAACTTACAAATATCTTAATTCAGATATCTTTTATAATTATCATTGTATGTTTTAGCCAGTAATTAATTATTATGATAAAACTACTCATTCGTAGATTACAGTGTACAATCATAAAAATTAGAATATTTTAATCATTGATGTTTTTATTTTAGGAATGTAATTTTGATGTTTCAGTCAAATCGTTAAAGTACAAAATCATATGACATACAGATTAAAACGACAGCTTTAAAAATAATCATTGTATTAACCTTAACGCTGGAAAAGAAGAACCAGAAGAAGAACATCACAATTATGCCTTCTTTTGTTACAGAGAACGAAAGAGAAACTCTGAACCAATACATCCAGCTGATGTACAAATCCTTAAATATGCAGTATTCATTCACAACTTTTCGTTAGAACTAAGAGGAGCTAATGAAATCAAGAGTAATTTGAGGAACAAAGGGAAACTGCTTCCGAGGGGTAAGGTGAAAAAAGACAAGAAAATAACAGAAAAAGGATTAATAAATAGAGATTGGCTGTTCGTGAGAACACTGCTTCCTGACTTGACAGCAGATGATGGACTAAATAATTTACATAAATTCCTTTTAGATGTAGAAGACGCGTTATTTGACGTAAGTTGTTCGATTAAAGCATTAAATGATGTTTATGGAATATGGAAGTTGGGCTTCCGGTGCCTTTATTTTCCTATGTACCCCTGGTGGTACTGTGGAAGATAAATTTTAACCACTGTATCCTTTTATTTCTGTGTGGAAACCGGTGGTTATGTTGGACTCGAACCGACCAAGAACCGTACGCCGTCTCGGAAGGAAATTCCTGATACCCCGACTTACCTCGGGCCATCTACGGCGTTTAGATGACCCTCTTCTGTGTAGGAACCCCTATGTCCCTATGTCCTATGTATGTATTTTAGTACAAAGGGGACATAGCGGTAAAGCTTGACTTTATTACATTATTATGATGTTGATGGTGTGTCAACCTATTATATGAATACGATTGTTAATGTTTCAGTTACATGAAGCTATAACGAATATAGCCAAGGTAACAAGATTTAAGCAACAAAATTGGTTTGACAATATCAAAGAGTTGTACTTGACGACAGACGAAAAACACCTCCGAGAAATACTCCTGCATCTGTCTTTTGCCAGACTAATCGACTTGATTGAAAAGGGCTGTGAAAACGGTTTAGAAAAGGACTTCATACTATATATGAAAACTCATAAAAAAGAATCCAAAAGAACTCTTGAAGAGATACTATTTGTGTTAAATATTTTGGATCAGATTAAAAATAATTTGGAATAGAATTTCTGAATTTCGTTTTGTTAGATTTTACAAAAGCCTTTGCTACCTTTTTCATTAATTTAATGGCCATTAAAATAATGCCAAATAGTGCAACTCTAAAATGCAAAATGTTGCAAACTGTAAATATTAATAAAATTACACACTTGATAATTGTAGCAGTATTCGCCAGGGATATATCCTAGGGCCTATTTTACAGTATTTTGGTAAGTCGCTTTGAGTGATAATGGCTATGACAAAAAAGAGGACAAAACTTGGACACCTGCAATATAAACGAAACAAATACAATGCCACCCTTCGTTTGCTCCCAGTTTCCCAAAACTAGGTAAAAGGGGCGGGTAAGTCCTCTAATAAACTTATCTCTATCGTATAAATCATGAAGAGTACTCCGAGGAATTGTTCGAACTAATTTATTTATTTTATTTCTTTAACTTTATGCACTTTTGTACATCGGCGGACTTAATGCCCGGGGCATTTTCTTCCAGTCAACCTTTGGGTGGTGTAGAAATCTTGTAAGGTAGGTGCACAGAGGTTACGTCTTAGTATATTAAATAATAACTGAAAGTATATGTAACGGTTCGCTACATATATAAACTCATACATACACATATTTGACACAATACATCATAAATACACATATATACAATTATACACATACATATATATTCAATTATATTTATATAGATACATAGACATATTATATTCGCACACTATGAATACCGGAATATGAGGAGATCATGTACCTTTTTTTAAATAAAGCGGTTTGTGGACATGCTGACTTCGAGCGGGAGCGCATTCCAGAGTAGTACTGTTTGAACAAAGAACGAAGAACTCACGAAGTCGGAGTTGTGAGAGGGACATAAGAGAAGCAGATTATTAACTGAGCGAAGATTTCTGTCGTGGTTAGTGGACAGGTAACGGAAGTAGGGAGCAAGGTAAGTAGGTGAGGACGGTGAGTTGAGAAATGAAAATAGAGAGGTAAGTGCACGCTGTTTGCGGCGCAAGCGAATAGGCAACCAGTTTAATTGGGAACGCAAAGCAGACACATGGTCATACTTCCGAAGATTGAAAATGTATCGAATGCAGTTATTAAGGAGACGGTCTAGCTTATTAAGAAGGTCTGCATTCAGGTCGAAGTAACACACATCAATAATATAATATATAATCTACTAATACCACCCGTAACTTTCCGCCATCGTTCCACACGGCAAAATTTTCAACCCCATTACTTGGATAATGTGCGTTTTTGGATACGCTTTTTGCCTCGCACTAAGAATCTGTGTAACAAGTTATCGTTTGCGGTATTTCCGGACCAATCCTTCAAACCTTCAAGAAAAGAGCGTACTCCTTCCTAAAAGGGCCGTTAACGCGTTTGTGGGTCCTGAGTTGCACACGTTCATGGGCGGCGTTAGTCACTTTCCATCAGGTGACCCGTCTGCTTGTCTGCCGTTTTTCTGTGAGGCCGTGATCACTTAGGTCTAGTTTATCTATTTGTGATGATCACCATGGATGTCTAACCTTTCGTGATTTGTATCCAAATACATACTAGGTATACTTATTTAATACTAGCTGACCCGCGCAACTTCGTCTGCGTCTCTCAATAGTAATAAATTTTCTCCGTTTTCGAAACATTCTTCATTGGTGCTCCGCTCCTATTGGTCTTAGCGTGATGATATATAGCCTATAGCCTTCCTCGATAAATGGGCTATCTAACACTGAAAGAATTTTTCAAATCGGAGCAGCAGTTCCTGAGATTAGCGCGTTCAAACAAACAAACAAACAAACTCTTCAGCTTTATAATATTAGTATAGATACAGATTGGTCCATTCAAATATAAGTCTATTTAAGTATCGTCACTTAAAATCGACTGCACGGATGGCGTAGTGGTTTAAGCGGTCGCCACGCCGCTTACTACTACGCTAAGTGTTGTGGGTCCGATCCCCACATGGGACGACACTTTGTGTCATCCACAAATTGCTGTTTTGTTCTGAGTCTGGGTTTTCTTTGTGTCTGTTTCATGTATGTTAGTAAATTCCCTTGCGACACAGGATATATACCTAATGCGGGCGTAGTCTTAAAAAAAAAGGTATGCATAGAGTATTAGTATTGACTTAAAATTGTTTTTTTTTTCAAAAACAAACTTTATTGAAAAACAAATTACTTACTTTTACATTCTACACTAGGATCACATAATTATTATTTTGGTACATAATATATTAATTTATACATACTTTGAGGTAACACCGTGTACTTTACATAATATTATGACTATAAACCAAATACTTTTATAGACTTATAAGGGATGAAACTCAACCCATCTTCCCAATTACATATCTAAGAAAAATACACAACTACGTTTTCGACAGAGGGTAACTGCCGTCTACTGGTTTTCAGGCTCTTAAAGTTTACTTACTCGAGTCGGGAATCCTACCCCGTAACCCGGTCCCGGATCTAGGGGGGGACAAACCGAGGCACACGCCCCGGGCGGCAGTTCCAAAATACCTTTTAACATCTTAAAAAAAAAATGTATTGTACTAATCACAAAAAATGTAAGCCATTACATATATTTTTGCGAAAAAAAAATTAATTATTTATATCAAAAGCTGGAGATAGGGATCGCTATTATTAAGTTTCTACTCCGGTTCGAAAAAATCCTAGATCCGGGGCTGCCAGGACTTTATAATCGCACTTAACTAAACTTATGCGACGGAACTTTTACAACAGAACCGAAAATATATATTTCCAAAGTACTTGATGGCTCGGATTGTACAATAATATAATTATTATTACTTATTTAGCCTCTTGTTTAATAAAATAAGATAAAATTTACAATTTAATAATAAAAACTACACAATACTTATAAAAAATAAGACTCCCACAACTTGCGTTGTGACCGACCGGCAACCCTGATGAATACACCGGTATTGTTGTTTCAAATACCGGTATTTTCGATGTTATTACAATGGGCATATGGAATGTGTAATACGTAATTTGCTATATATATCACCGGAAAATAACAAGAACCGCAAATGTATCAATTTCCTAGGAAATACATAAAAATTCGTAGGATTCTAAACGAGATATCAATTGTATTATTTTACGCCCACATTTTCGCAAATTAATAAACTTACCGAACTCTAGTCCGGTGCTTTCTTTAATTTCAGAGCCGCCTCCTTGGTGAGCTGGTCGGCTCGCTCATTACCCCCCAACCCGGTTAGGTTTTCTTCTCTCGTTTTATTATTTATTATTTTACGGTGACATATACATATAATACGGGTTTATAAAAATATATAAAGCATGAATATAGCAAAGGTATAAGTTTGTGATTATATTTCGGTTGGTTTCCCTGATACCATTGAAGTAACCAGCCAAATCTTAACTTTAATAACATTTAGAACAGCACAGAAAGAAAATATTATGATAGAGACACAATATATTATGTACATTACATTGATATCACTAAGTGTATTTGTAAACAGGATAGCAGCTCAGATTAAATTCCAATTCGAAAAGCTATTTGTTGCAAAATACCTCCATCTAAACTATTCCGGTATTCTTCGTAAGACATGTACAAAATAATACCGTCCCATTATAAAGTCAATAGGATTTTGATTCTAATACCGTTTAAATACCGGTATTCCAGATTTGGTCACGAGTGTTAGAGCTTATTAACAATATGTATAATTTTTTGGTATTAAAATATAATATTTTATCTTAAAAATTACTAAATACGACTTACTATTTATATTTTATGGTTAATAATAAATACACCATAAAATATTTTATTATCTTAATCTAGTGGAATGATAGTTGCATTTCATCCAAATTTGATGATAACATGTTTACATGATTTTAGAAAACTTTGTTTTTTAATGATGACTAATTTGTTATGCAAAATAATTGTTGTAAACAAGTATTGCGATATTAAATAAAATTATAAATCTGGTTTTGTATTTTTTTCAGCTAATTTAGCAAAATTATACAACACAGCCATTTTTAATGTCCTAAATAAATATGGAGCTGTCAGACGCATAAATGTTAGTTGATTGTCCTGTTGGTTAATCGGCCTGTTGGTCTAGTGGTTAGTGACCCCGACTGCTACGCAAATAACATGATGTGTATCGAGCATCGTGTGATGAGCACGGTCATTTGTCCTGTGTCTGGGTGTACTTTATCTATAATATGCATTTAGAAATATATATGTATGTTTATCAGCAGTCTGGTTACCTTAGTACAGGGTCTGCCTAGTTTGAGTTCAAACGGTAGTGTGTGAGATGTGTAAAAAATATATATTATAATTCAATGTAATCTTAGACCTATTTCTTAGCGCTCCATGGACACCGTGCGGATCCCGGGTCCATCGCGTGATAGATGGGGACAACACATACGACTTCGACAGCGTCTGAGACTTGCAACGAGGCATATGTTTAGGGAGTACTCCTTGCGAGACGTCGGCGCTAACCTCCACTGTCTGCTGTGTTACCCCTCTACCCAACCATATTTGATACAAGCCTAGCAATGTCGCTTTGGATATTCGTTCAAGAAAAGAGCTTACTGAATCTCTTGGCAATCCAAGGTGTTTAAGCAGGTTATAGAGGGATTTAGTTGGTATACCCCTCGCACCCACTTCCACGGCATACAAAGCAACGTATAAAACCATTTTTAGTTATTTCGATGGTAAAATCAAAGTACTTGTTTCTTTTTAAATATACACCGTATTTAATTGCCAAATACCAGTTAAAATACCGATATTTAAAAATACCGGTTTTTATTAATAAATGTGCAATACGCAACAAGTCAAGAATGTTATCAAATGGCGTGTCTTGTTAATATCTGTTACTGACGCGTGTAAAGTAATACCTCGTCTTTGCTATGGGTTATAGAGGTGTTACACTACAGAATACTTCAGAAACGGTGTTTTCGGAAGAAAAAAAAAATTATAAATCAACCACACATTAGCTATACATTAACGTGTGTTTATAAACCAGCATTCAGTATCTAAAAAAACTTATAATCCAAGAATTCCCCTTGCTATGGAACTATTGCACCTATGCACCTAAATATACAACACAATTTTCAACGTCTAGTATGAATATAATATCGGTACAGAAAGCCTATTGATGAAAAAAGCCTACAAACGAATAGCGACATTAAGACTTAAGCAATTAAGTGAAATCTACAACCAAAAATGTTAAAAGCAACATTGCCTATTCGACTATTTTCCTATGATTAGCTCGTGTAAATAAATATGTATCGTATTGATAAACACGAGAGTATCTTCTGCGATAATGACAATTTATAATAATAATATTATGTGACGAATTAAGAATACAGAGTGTCACCACCCCTATTCATCCCGTGGGTGTCGTAAGAGCCGACTAAGGGAGAAAGAAAATACTGCAAAGAGAAGAAAAACCTGACACAAGCCCTATACCAACCCGTCTGACCAGCGTGGTATAGATGGCCAAAACCTTCTTTCTAAGGAGAGACCTATGTAAAGCAGTGGACTATTAAAGGCTGTTGATGTGATGTGATAAAGAACAAAAGATGATCAGAAGGCTAATTCTCGTAATAAAAGATCGGTTAAAATACAGTTCCGATCAACTCTTGATCTCGTAACTGTCATTAAAGGTATTATAAACAAGTAAGTAAATATGTATATCCGAATAGATGACCGCGCGGGTCAGAAAGTCGGATATGTTTACTTATAAGCTCAACTTCTTTTAATATTATTCTCTAAGATTATCCTTGATGTAATTATGCTTCTGTTTCCAAGTCCGCTTCTATTTCTTCTGGGGTCCTAAGGTCGATAGCGAAGCGTTTTTTCATACTTGGTGGTCGGTCATCTAGAACTGGTAACAGACAAAGATTTTATGGTAAAAAATATTTTAAGTAGATTAAAATAATTTATATATATATATATACTATATACATATTCCGTGTGATGACGGATTAAGAATACAGATTGTCACCACCCCTATTTATCCCGTGGGTGTCGTAAAAGCCTACTAAGGGAGAAAACTACGCAAAACAACAGCACTGCAGAGAGAAGGAAAACTTGACTCAAACCCTATACAAACCCGTCTGTCCAGCGTCGTATAGGAAGCCATAACCTCCTTTCTAAGGAGAGGCTTATGTCCCGCAGTGGCAGTATTAAAGGCTGTTGTTGATGATGATGTTGATGATGATATACATATGAAAATGTTAAGTTGGTTTGTGTACGCACGTTCACAGATTGAACTAAAATTTTGACACGATAGGCAAAACTGCTTCAATGATTATTAAATCTATTTTTCGCATCAGTTTTGTTCCTCATTTATATTCCATGCAATTTAAATGTGCACCAGCGAAGCGTGGTATTGTACAGTTATACAGAACAGAGAGCCACTATGACTGCACGGATGACGTAGTGGTTTAAGCGGTCGCCACGCCGCTAACTACTACGCTAAGTGTTGAGGGTCCGATCCCCACATGGGACGACAATTTGTGTGATCCACAAATTGTTGTTCTGAGTCTGGGTGTTCTTTGTGTCCGTTTTATGTATGTTTGTAAAGATAATAGGTCTCTGACTGTCTGTATTTTTTTTTGTTTTGTAATTTAAGGACAAAGATAGTTATTTATTCATTAATAGAAACGAGCGAAATACAAAAATTTCATCAATTTCAAACCTTCGATACTGTCACGACTTTTATATGTAGAAAAACAAACTATAACGCCATCTAACGAAGAAACACCGAATTACGCTGTAACATCTAATTCTGCATGGCGCTATAGAATTTCTCGTACCGCTTAGCATACAAGTATGTAATACAAGTTCCAAACAACAAGCGTTAGGCTGCGGTCTACCAGGCATGATCACCTCGCCTGCTAAGAGGATCCATTTATGTTGGAGAGATATAACATTCGATCCTATACAATATAAGGTCCTTACCATTATTTCCATTGGCTTGCATTTCTTTGACTCTTCTAGAATAATCCTGGAAGGCAGCTGCTAATGAGTAGGTCAAACGTCTTGCAGCATTTCTGGAAAATAACAAAACCAAATATTTTATTTTATTTTTTCAAAATATCTTCAAACCAAACTTCCTCTAAGTCGGTTCAGCGGGTATTGATCCCCAATACAAACTTATTCGCCCAGGATGATTTCTGGTATGAACACTATGCTATATCCTTTCCCGGGATTCAAACCATCTCTTTGAGAAATTCCATCGAAATCGGTACAGCGGTTCAGACAGACAGACGCACCTTCTTATTTATAATATTAGAATGGATGGAAAAGGGGGCAAACGAGCAAACGGGTTACCTAATTTCATCCACACATTGTTGTTTTGAGTCTGGGTGTACTTTGTGTCCGTTTCATGCATGTTTGTAAAGTCCCCCGCGACATAGAATTTATGCCTAGTGCGGGAGATGTCTTTAAAAAATATGGAAACTGCCTACCGCCGCTCATGAACGCCTGGTACTCAGGAGTTACAAATGCGTTCCCGGCCTTTGAGAAAAAAGTAAGCTGTTTTCTAATTAAACTTGGATTAAAATGGGAGCCAATCAGACGGGTCACGGGTTAGTTCATGGATATTGCGACTTACTATTAATAATAACCTCATACATATCACACAACTCGGTCTGGTCCCAAACTAGGCGCAGCCTGTGCTGTGGTAACCAAACTTCTGATAAACATACTTATAGAAAAATCACATCCAGGTTCAGAACAGATTCTTCCTTTCTAGGTTATACCTGTAGTACTATTAGTACCCGAGACGGCGTGCCGTTCGGTTCGAGTCCGACATGCCACCGATAGGGGTATCCGAGAGGATTTCCGCACGGAAAAAAAAAGGTTTAGAACAGATTATGATCGTGCTCATCGCACAATTATTCGTCATTGGATGGGAATCGAACCCACGACTTTTATCTTAGCAATCAGGATCACTTACCGCTGGTCAAACAGGCCCGTAAATAAGTTAGATAACTTATCTCTTTGTGATAAACATGGTATCTATACAAATAAATAAAATTGAAGTGTCTGTTTGTAATGTTAAAATATATTTTTTTATGCTCACACAGTTTAAATATTTTTTGTCTGTCTGTCTAATATTCAAAACAGCTTGATCGATTTTAATAATATTTTACTACCAGGTATAGATAGTTCAACTCAGTCGTCGTCCGAGCACCGCGTCACTGCCACACGAATGAAAGTTGTATATTTACAAGCCCACGCAGACATAGGGCCGCGCGCACAACTGAGTTGAACTATCTATAGCTGTCTATATAAGGAGTAACTTAGGCTATTTTTTCATCAGAAAACCCCTATAAAAATTTACCAGATCCTTGATTTTACGCGGATGAAGTCGCGGCCACCAGCTAGTTTGCAATAAAATTCCGGTCCATCACTCCAAGATGACAAGATATCTTATTCAACGTAACGTTAAAGATGAAAATATTTATTTATTAAATAGGTCATCTTATAAACTGGGTTAGTTTTATCTGTTGATAAATATGACAAACAATATGATGGACTGTTAGTAAATATGTTGGGAAATACTATACGAAGTCTAAAGGTATGTATATATGTTTACTAGCTGACCCGGCAAACGTTGTTTTGCGATATAAATTATTTCTAGGAAATTTTGAAAAAAAATATTTAGGGGTGGGTCACCCTTGTCTTTTAGGGGTATGAAAAATGTTCATCGTCGCGATGTTGGCCGATTCTCAGACCTACCCGATGTGCACACAAAATTTCATAAAAATCGGTCCAGCCGTTTCGGAGGAGTATGGTAACTAACAATGTGACACGAGAATTTTATATATAAGATAAACGAAGAGTTATAGGCGGTTTAAATGATGTACGGCTTCAGCCTTGACGGATAGATATCGAAGGTTTCCAGATTTCCAGGTTTTCACTTTCCTTTTAGCCTCTTTTCCAAATTAGGTTGGGGTCGGCTTTAAGTCTACTTGCTCGTCGAGCCACGATGGCTCGTGGGTCGTCAAGGCTGGAGGCTCCACGTGCTGGCGTTGCCGCCGTGGAGGCGTGGCTCCAGCTGTTCTTCGTCGAGTGGGCAGGGCGGCAGCACGGGACCCTTTCCTTGGGTGACACAGGTCCTTTCCGGGCACGGCTGCTTCGGGAAGTACCTGCACTTGAGTCCCGCCCGTCACCACTGCGATTGCAGTGAGGACTCAGCTCAGCACATGCTGGCAAATTGTCCGGCTTGGGCGCCGACTCCTCATTGCAGACATCGGAGGGGATCTCTCGCTAGCGGCCGTCATACGCTCTATGGCTGGTAGTGACAGTAGTTTCACCGCGGTCGCATCCTTCTGCGAAAATGTCACTCAGAAGGAGGCGGCGGAGAGGGCCCGGGAGGACAACCCCCTGCCTCGTACCCACGGCTTTTAGTCTACTACAATATGGCTGAACTTTCATTTTTTACATGGAGCGACTGTCATCAGAGCTCCTCAACTAGAGGATTCGATCGAGATCCCGGTCATATTTTAGTCCTGAAATAATTAATCCTGGGATTTTCGGGTTTGCATCCATCCATTGAACTTTTCATTACCAATACAATCATGTAGCTATCCCGGGATCCCGAGATCAATTGTAGATAATTCCGAAATACTGGGATTACAAAAATGGACCGGGATCGAATCCTCTATCCACAACCCAAGTAATATTCTAGGGTATATTCTGTAGAAATACTGTTGTCGGACGTTACAGGGCTCCAATCACCCGTAACGACGGCCACAGATGTTCGCATCATCATCATCATCAACAGCCTTTAATAGTCCACTGCTGGACATAAGCCTCTCCTTAGAAAGGAGGTTTTGGCCTACTATACCACGCTGGCCAGACGGGTTGGTAAAGGGTTTGTGTCAAGTGTTCCTTCTCTCAGCAGTGCTGTTGTCCTGCTTAGTTTGTTTCCTTAGTCGGCTCTTACGACACCCACGGGATGAATAGGGGTGGCGACACTCTGTATTCTTAATCCGTCACCACACGGACCGATGTTCGCATAGCTTGCGATGTTCGCATAGCAACTGGGATATGGTCACTCATCCATAGCAGGATCTGGATCCCGCCGCATGTATGAAAGTGTTATGTACTTCTGGTATACATAATACTTTCACAAACATGAAAAGAAAGTAGTAGGCAAACGAGTAAAATGGACCACTCGATGGTAAGTGACTACCACCGCCCATGGACACCTACAACCCAAAACTCACCAATGCCTTGCCCTTTCACTCCCTCCCCCAGAATTAGGGAGAGGGGGCTTTGGGGTTCCTTTAATCTCGGTGAAAAGTAACAAAGCAATTACTTAACAAAGATTTTCTGTGAGACCGTGATGCCAATCTGGTCGAGCAGACCCGTATCTGTTGAAGTACTCGTATGGCTCTTTCCGAACCTGCCCGCACCGGTTGATCTCTTCTAGTCATTCGCTCTTCGCCCATCCTTTGAACATGCTCAAACCAACGCAGCAGCGTCAATATCTTACCTGGATTCACAGACAAAAGCGTGGCACTCGAAAGGGTTTAACCCTTTCACATCTGCATTGTCCTTTACTATAATCATTGAGAAGACCCTGGTGTACACCAGATCCTGGACTCCGTAGGAGATGGACTCGATGTTGAAGAATACTGACATGTGCTCGAACTCATCTTTCTTCGTCCCATGGTTAGCTGTCTCCAAATGGACTCCATCCACTGTCACTGTTAGTTTAACTATGGGTAGGATTTGACCTGGAATTATAAAATAAAAAGAGTAGAGAGAGAGAGAAATATAAGTTATCGTCATCTAGTAAATTTGTACAAAGTAACTAACATGTTTACTAGTCATCGGTAAGTTGTAAGTGTACTAATCAGTGTAAAGCCTTCCATTTCGTGATGCAGAAAAAAATGTTGTAAATTCGCGTTAAGAAAATAGTGACGCATCGATCAAGCGATCCCCGTATGAATCTATAATTTCTTGGAACCTGATTGGTCAGTTGAACGGGCCATAACGTCACTATTTTCGTAGCACGAATAGACTATAGTCACTAATTTTAAATAATGCAAGTAGTATAATAATTATTAGGTTATTCTGTGTGTCACTACATGGCGGTTATTATTATAATATTGAATATTTTTCTTACCAGGTGGTAGGGCTTTGGCGGCGGCTACCATTAAATCAACTGGTTTTCTCGTGTGCTTGATACCCCATAAGCCTCGGGCATCGCTCTGACCTAGATATTTGGCCTGAAAGCATAGTGGAACTTGTGTTGATCATAATGAAATAGATATGTAACTAATGCTATCTTATATTCTAGACGTTTCTGTATGTATCTAGACGTTTCTTATTTACCTATCATGTTTTTATTTATGTTATCTATGTGTATATGTGTGGTGACGGATCCAACCAAGGGAGCGAACTACACAGGATAGGAGCACTGCAAAGAGAAGGAAAACTTGAAACAAACCCTATACTAACCGGTCTGGCCAGCGTACGCCAAGACATCCTTTCTAAGAAGACGCCTATGTCCAGCAGTGGACTATTAAAGGCTGTTGATGTGATGTGATCTGACGTGTATTTACACAGACCATATATGTATGGAGTAGTATGTAAACATGTACTGCTAGAATTGACTACGTATAGTTTTCAACTACTTTTATTATTTATTTTTTATAGAATCACGTGGTGTATGTTGTAGATTGACTATAATGGGTAACAAAAGTTATTATTATTGGAGAGTTGCCGACATTTGAGTGTAGTAACTCCTCCTAGAATGATGAGGAGTTTGGTATCCTTTAACCTCACTCAATCGGTGTAAAGTGACGAAAAACCGCTAAACACCTGTTTTCTGTGAAGCTTGTTATATTACTTCGGTCGAGCTGATGGCCTGGCTCTCCCACAGCAGAGTGTACACATACCTTGAGTAGATCAGGGTCAGACACTCTTAGGGGAGATTAACCAATATTGAACCGACGCTTAAATTGGACCACTTAAGTAATCCGTGTGGTGACGGATTAAGAATACGGAATGTCACCACCCCTATTCATCCCGTGGGTGTCGTAGGAGCCGTCTAAGGGCAAACTACGCAGGACAACAGCACTGCAAAGAGAAGGAAAGATTGAAACAAACCCTTCATCAAGCCAAGGAAACACTACGATATACCTAGCAATAATGATACGAGAATACTTTAAGACTCGGCAACTTGCGACACAAGCACTTCTCACTTATAAGATGTAGGTGACACCGACTTGGCTGACACCGACTCCAAAAATAACAATAATTGTAACTACAATGTAGAAGAATATGCATTTATTTTTTACTTTTTAGTGCATATTAATTTGTTTTGGAATAGTGTTTTTTTAAGTCGTTTTTTTTTTTAAATTTTTGTTTTTTGTTGCTAGTGTTAAAATAATAGTGTCATTTTGGTAGAAATACAGAAGTGGTCCAATTTAAGTGCCGGTTAAATATTGTTTACTATCCCCTATATTGTTTTCAGTCGCGAGGGACTTTGCAAACATTCATTCAAATGGACAATAGGAACACCCAGAACGAGAATTGGTGGATCACACTAAGAATTGTCCTATGTGGGCATCGCACCCAGAACTCTCAGCACAGTAGAAATCGGTAATGTAACCACACAATTTAATTACCGCTATAAAATAGTGTACTTGGTAAGTTACTCCTAAAAAGGGTCGATGCACGTAATCTTTCACTTTTAAAACAATATGTAAGCATATCACGAAAAGCTTTCTTTTGTATCCAAACCTTCGTTACTTAGGACCTTTATTAGGAAATCGTGTAATGAATACCAATTATTTATGTCTGATGGTTATCTTGGTGGTCTAGCGGTTAGTGATTGCGACTGTTGAGACAGAGGTCGTGGGTTTGATTGCTACCCGGACAAATATTGTGTGATGAGTGTGCAATCCAGCTTTTAAATCAGGGGGTTCGGTTACCATAGCGCAGATATTGGCTAGGTTGGTATTATTATTATGTTTGATATTCATTGACATTTTGATATATAATAATAATCTAAGACATTCACCAACGCTATCTAGTTCCAAACTAAGCTGAGCTTGTACTATGAGTACCAGACAACTGATATAAATACATAAATATTATACATAGAAACACCTAGACCAAATCAAACATTAAATGATCAAGCAAACTAATGTTTGCTGCAGGAATTGAACCCACGTCCATTGGCGTAACAGTCTGTTACACAAACCACTACGCCATCCGTCATATTGTTTTAATCTTATGGGGGATGTTGAACTACTCATTTTTGGTGTATACAGAATGTAGGCCATACATTTTAAACACATTTTAGTAATCATTTCTTTACGGAATAAATGTCTACGTTGTATTCATCATCATCAATCATCAACAGCCTGTAATCATCTACTGCTGGACATAGGCCTCTCCTTAGAAAGGAGGTTTTGGCCTACTATACCACGCTGGCCAGACGGGTTGGTATAGGGTTTGTTTCAAGTTTTCCTTCTCTTTGCAGTGCTGTTGTTCTGCATAGTTTGCTCCCTTAGTTGGCTCTTACGACACCCACGGGGTAAATAGGGGTGGTGACACTTCGTATTCTTAATCCGTCACCACACGATCTTTTTTTAATGTAGAGATCAATCTCATATCACACAAAACCCCAAAATTAAATAAACACCTCAAACGCATAAATCTAAAATAATTCTATAAATTACCATCGTATAGATTTTAATCAAATCCCCAACAATACACCATAAAGTACATCGTAATTAGAGCGGCCATGTTGGCTGCCGGATGTGACGTCACTATACATGCATTTGAATCAACGGTAAATTAACTTGTGTAATATGGCGGTTTACAAATGGAGCAATGATATTTTTATTTGCGAATGATGATATCATTGACTGGGGCCCGTTTTTTATACACGCGAATATCTGGGACTGCAAGTCTCATTTGAAACTACTTTTTTTCATAAAAGACAACTCCCGCACTAGGAATATATCTTATGTCGCGGGGGACTTTACAAACACACATGAAACGGACACAAACAACACCTAGATTAAGAACAAACAAACGTAAACCACTACGCCGGTCGTGCAGTCAACAACTGTTTTTTTTTTATGATTTAACAGGTTAAGGAGGAGGACGGGAGAGGGCCGATCCCGCTCGAAGAAGGCGACCCAAGACAGATGACACTCCGGTGCGGCCGGGGGGTGTCGTCCATGGCGGAGCGCTGTTGCGCCTCCTACTGTGTACCGCAGTGAGAGGCGCGGCAGCCTCCTGCCCCAGGGTGACTACAGTCACTCCGAGATGTGCCTCAGACATGGGGTATGGCAGGGAGGACTCCAGAAGCCGCCGATGCGTTCCTGGAGCTCCTCCTGACTGCCGAGGGCCACCGCGGGGTTTAGTGGGTAAACCGGTTCTCCAAGAGTCTCACATACGCCCTGCGTTTCTCCAACGGAGGGTATGGTGCGTAAAGCATTCCCAGCGTTTAAAAGAAAAAAAAAGGCTGGAGTCTACAGTCTCAGGTACACGTGTACGTGGGACTCTAGTGTGTGTTGCTAGCCTTTAAGTGCCATCCAGAACGACGGAGGAGGGGTTGGCACTCACTCGGCCTTTGAGTATTATTGGGTCTCTGGTTCCACACATTCAATAAAGAAACACTATAAAACTTTTTTAAACAAAGTCGAACCGACTTCAAACAATACTAACAAAGAGCACTAAAAACTTAGCAGCAATCGCGGTTGATTAGCTGTCATTTTTTGAAGAGTTCCGTTGTCTGTCTCCGATACTCATCATCAGATCTATATGAAATTAAAATGCAACCATTTTGGAATAAACCCTTGTCGACCAAAAAAAGAATTTTGCAAATCCATAAAAAAAAACATCCCAATTGATAACCTCCTCCTTTTTGAAGTCAGTTAAGAGAGATGCTCCGTTGAATGATGAATCCGTTTTTTGTGAAGCTGTGATATCACTCAGGTTGAGCCGGCTAAAGTGTGCAGACGCATGGTTCTCCCAAGGTCTTCATGAAATGTAATAGATGAATATTATCCATGTGGTGACGTGTTAAGACTATAGAGTGTCGCCACACCTATCCATCCCGTGGGTGTCGTAAGAGCCGATTAAGGGAGCAAACTCTGCAAGAACAAATCACTGCAAAGAGAAGGAAAACTTCAAACAAACCCTTTTTTTTTTTTTTTTTTTTTTTTTTTTTTTTAACGTGTGGAAATCCCCTCGGACCGTCACCCCTCCGGGGTTTGCGGCGGGGTGGTGTGTCGGACTCGGACCGACTAAAACCACACGGTGTGCCACTCTGCGCCTGTAACAGGAGGGATCCGGGAACAGCTGTTGTTAAGACATCCGGACCCCTCCTAGCGCCAGCCCGCTCCTGGTGCGGGCTCCGTCTCAGTGTTGATGTTCCTCTCTTTAGGCGACGTCCGGCACACGCGGACGCCGCCCCCTCGCGGCTGGCCAAACTAATGCGGGTGGAGGGGAAACCCACCCCGTCCACCCGCGGCCACACTCAGGGCGGCATGAGGCTGTGATAGGCGGGCCTCCGCCGCCCGGTTCGCCGGCGGCGGATCGGGTCCGAGTGGAGGTCGTCCTCCCGGGCCCTCTCCGCCGCCTCCTTCCGCGAGATTACTACCTCGCAGAAGGTTGCGACCGCGGTAAAACAACTGTCGCTACCGGCCATGGAGCGTACTACGGCCGGTAGCGAGAGATCCACTCCGATGACTGCAGTGAGGGCCCGGCGCTGCGCCGCCCATGCGGGGCAGACCGCCAGCGTGTGCTGGGCCGAGTCCTCACTGCAGTCGCAGTGGTGGCAGGCGGGACTCAGTTCCCTCCTAGCGACCGTGTGCAGGTACTTTCCGAAGCAACCGTGCCCGGAAAGCACCTGCGTCAGCCGGAAGGAAAGGGTCCCGTGCTGCCGCCCTGCCCACTCGGCGATGACCGGCTGGAGAGCCTCCACGGCGGCAAAGCCAGCGCGTGGAGTCTCCAGCCGGAACGACCAACGAGCCATCGTGGCTCGGCGAGCGGCTTCGCGCCACTCGCGCACATCCTCGGGCGGAGGGCGAAATCCGCTCTCCGCCCGGAAGTCAGCCACTCGCCGATAAACTTCGGCGAGCACTTCCGCCTCCAAATCCCACGGGGGAGTTCCGGCCAATGCGCATGCCACCTCCGTCGAAACGGTGCGGTAACCGCGTATGGCTCTGACCGCCATTACCCTCTGAGGGCGCCAGAGGCGTAC